TCTACAACTGAATGCCTACTGATTCCAAAATTTTGGGCACTGAGTGCACTTGGGGGTCCTTGAATAAAGATATAGTGGAGGATGTTCTTTTTCCGCGTGGATCATCAAAATAAGTGGTCCTCCTAATTGTCAATCATTCTGGTGATATATTTACGTAAGGTCGTCCTATATGCTAGTCCCCATTTTCACCTACCGGTGGTAAGTCTGACACAGTAGAAACATTGCAAATCACTTATGGAAGTAAGCTGATATGAACGATGCAAACAGCAACCTTTAACAGAGCCTGCACAGTGAGAAATGGGCTTGTGCATGCTCTCCCATCCGTTTAATAGGGGTTCTGTCTCTGGAGTGGTACAGGGTTGTGCATGTGTATTTTCTTTCTAAAGTTGAGAGGGTGGATCTTTTCAAAAATTCAAGAAAATCCTCCACTATACCATTAACTACTATGGGGTTTTGAAATCCACTACAGCCATTAAACTAAACAATAAGAATTTATGTTTAAAGTGATTAAAGGTATAACAGCATTGCTTAAAAAAATGACAAAAGCAACTACTTTAATTGTTGATGTTGTTTGTAATCTCATTAGACCTGTGGTTGACTTATTTAGAAGGAATATTTGTAGAATCAACCAATAGTGAGGGTCAGGAATTGAGCCACTTTTGTGGCTGAGAAGCTGAGAAGTTTGGAAACCTCTGTGCTAGTCTTCACTGCTTCTGTATGTTTACGTATTATGTCCATATGCAATATTATTGGTGTTGTTATACACAGAAAGGGCTTTATTTACCAAACAAGGCATTAAACATAAAAGCAACAAATAATACGCCTGCAGGATGGGGTCATTTTTCATAAAAACCTTGTGGACAACCAGAATGTGCTACTGGCGTATACATTTCAGAAGTCAACATGATTAATGCCCATTTAAGCACTCAATTGGTTTAACTTTCGGGCTACAGAAAACTGTGTGGGCTTAGAGATTACTGGAGAGAAAGAGAATACATCTCATATGGAATTGTAAATAAAATCAAATGAATAAAAAAAAAGAAACATGGCTGGCTACTTGCCACCAGTTACCAGATGGTATGTACAGTAGTGTGTGTGTGTGTGGGGGGGGGTATTGCTTGGGGGAAAGTTTTGGTAGCAGCGAGGTTAAAGAGAAAAAGAAAAGTTAAATGCAAATTTGTTCTGTATATAAACATTACAGATAAATATAGTAGGTTACATAAGAGCCTCTGCAGAAAAGTGCTTCATGGCTGCAACCACATGCAGGTTTGTTAAATAAGCCTGGTGCTTATTTGAGCATCTGTTTATCTATTTATTTAGAGAGCAGTGTTTGGGTTGGTGTAGATTAAAAATTGCAAATATAAACTGTGAAATTACAGATAAACAGATGGCAATACCTGACTCAGTAACTGGTGTATGTATCGATATCAAAACAGCCATGAGCTTTCTTTTCATTATGATAAGCAGCCATGTGAAGCTGCTTTGTTGGAGGGATTTTTTTTTTGTTTTTTTTAAATCTCACTTTTTGCCAACAGAGCTTGTTTATACGAATGAAGGTGATAGCTGATCACAGCTCTAAGCCCTCATTTGCTGGTGTTTAATCACCCGGTGCCTGAACCCTGTACTCTGGTGATGCCTTGGGAGGTTATATTTATATATAAAAGAAGGCATTTACCAGCAGAGGACCGTCTCTCTACAAGAAAACATTAGTTTCAATTGGGTCTTATTATTAACTACTAGCAATTAACATGTAATTAGTTGATGTACTGTTTATTAAATAGCTAGCTAATATAAAACTGATAACCTTTTGGGGAAAAGAATGTTTACTTCTTAGCAGCTTCTTTGATGGGTTAAAAAGTTTAATTTCCAGTACATGTTTCAGAGTCCCATTATGTAATGCAAATAACACAGAAACAATGATCTTTTAGAGGTTATTGAACATTGAAATAAGTCGTACAGCATGGAGTTACGATGACTTCTAACTTTGTCTTCTCACAGGAGCTACAGTACAGCCTGTGTCTGCATCAACTGCAAGAACAATGGTCTGATAGTGCAAGCTGCTTCCGTAAAAGGTTTTCTGGGTGAACATACTGCATGGGGGAAATACCTTGCTTTAGTGTTTCATAACTGAGAAAAGCTTTTCCAAAAGATTGCATTGCTTTTTTTTTTTTTTGAAGCAGACTTAAAGCAGACTTTTCACATAAAGAGATAAAAGAGATATTCAATACATTTAGATGGATATAAGGGATGAAAATTTTCAGAAAAATATCCTGTTTTGTGCTACTGTGAAGTATTTCACAACAGCGTGGAAAAAATTACTTTGTCAAGAACTGCCCTGATTGCTAAAAATATCAGCTAATCATATCAATCTCTCATTTATAGATACTAAACACTCAAAGAAGACTGACATTACCATCTTAAGTTAAGTAGCATTTCGTATTAGTATTTAGTAGAAGTCGTAGTAGTACTTGCTTGTT